CCAGCCTCCCTCCTGCCCGCCCAGCCTCGCTCCTGCCCGCCCAGCCTCTCCTTGCCTTTAGGGTCTGCTGATAGGAAGAATGGACGCCTCTGTCTTTTTCCTTTTAAAGTTTCCTTTACTGAGTACCTTAGTGTGTTCCCGAGAGGCCTTTCTAATGTTTTTCCACTTTTTAATTTTACTTTCCCCCAACACCGAGTGCTTCCCTCGTCCCCCGCCATGCAGCGTCACGCAGGCCCTGACGGTGCGTGCATCATGTTTTTATGGACATCGGCCGTTTCTGTAACCACTTTACCTTGTCGAGTTGCCCACCAGGGAAACGTCTACTATTGGGCTTTGCTGTTCCGACGCACTTTACTGCAGCCATTCCCTGGAAACCCCCCTTTTGCCTTAAAGGGCTGCATTTCCCCTCCCCTATGGCTAAATTACACCCCACGGTTTGGCCAGGCCACGTCACCTCAGCCCAGGTGTGAATCCACAGACATTTAAGTTTTTTTCTTGCACCAGCTCTGGCGCTGCACGGGCGCATCCTTCTAGCTGGAGTAAGGCTGGAGATGGGCCCTGCACCCCGAGCTCCCTCCCACTCGTGAGGTCCTGACCACAACACCCGGCCTTGGCTGGAGACGGCTGAAGCCATGAGACTCTGGGGGGCAGCTACACAGCCCCCCTCCCCTGGAGACAGGGCGGAGGTGCCCAGGGGTGTGGGGACCGCCTTTCCGGTTCCAGGCCCCAAGACTGCCAGGAAGGAAGGGGAGCAGAACAGAAGCAGGGAGGGGGCAGGGCAGCTCAGGGGTGCTAATCCCAGTTTCCTGTCCGGATTTTCTTTGACTGCTGCACAGGCCTATCTTAGGAGGGGCACAGCTGCTGAAATAGATCCCTCCCCTCACCTGTTCTCAAGTAAGGAAGATCTTGTGAACTTCCTGTTGCAGGAATGCATGCTTTTCCAGCATAAGGGGCGTCCTGGACCCTGGAGCTGCACTGCCCGCTTGGCCAGGAACCAGGCAGCAAACAGCTAGCAGGCCGGACCTGACACCAGGCAGCTGCCTCATCATGCTTTTCTGTGAGTCTGGTGGGAACTTCTCCTTGCTCTGGTCAGAAACCACTGCGTGCCCACAGGTGGTGACAGAGAGCAGATCCCCCCGCCCTCCTCCTTCACCTCTGCCTGTCTGCTCCCCCCAGGCTGCTCTCACCAATTCTCTACTCTGCTTACCTCTTTAAGCAAACTGATCAATAACTGCTTAACAAATGCTTCAGTCAGTCTCCAGGACCAGAAAACCAAGTGTTTGAGTTGGGGCGAGGCTCCTCCCTCACTGATTCACTCAGCAAACATGAGCCTGTTAATGGGGGGGGGGGGGAGGGCGCTTGGGCCTGAGGTACAGTGAGGAATCAGCCACTCTGCTGGGGAACCACAGTGCACATGGGATTGAGGGTGGATTTCTGGGAGAGAGATGAGCCTCCTGTGGATGCTGGTGAGTTCCTGGGGGACCCCCACCCCCAAACTTGGAGAGAGAAGACTGAAGGCCATGATACAGCCCGCCCAGGCATCTGAGCCAGGCAGATCTCATCTGCGCTTGCGCTAGCAACTGCCTGGGCAGAGACACTGGCCAGCCCCACTGTCGCCAAGGTAACAGACTCTCTGGAGCCGCCATGGCCTCGGGAACTGGAGGGAGCTGGGGTCCTCCACCAGCTCATGACACAGCCCCACAGCCTGCGGTGAGCGCTGAGACAGGGACTGAGACAGCTTCCACCATCCACCAGGATGTCCTGAGGCCCAGTGAATGAGTTGGGGAGCAGCCCAGAAAGGGGCAAACCGTGGGGGGAGGGAGGGAGTGCCAGCCTCCTCCAGCCTAAGGCTCAGCCAGGGCTGGAGGAGTCTGGCAGAACAGAGGGCATACCTGCTCCTGGGGTGGGAGACACAGGGGTGGGGGGTGGGGGCCATTGGACCTGCACCCCAGCCCTCTCTCTGCTTAGCCTGGCCAGCCTGTCCCCCTCCACCAGCCCTGGGTGGCCATCCTGCAGCCTCCCTCCTGGGCAGACCCACAGCCACCCCAGCAGCCAGGCCGCTGGAAGGAAGGTGAAACTCGGGGCTCACCCCTCTTATCCTCTGCCCTGCACATTCTCTGGCTGCCCGCACTGCTCCTGGGGCGCTGGTGTAGGGGAGGGTTCTGGGTGGGGTCTGGGGGTGTCCGGCATGGGCTGCTGACCCCCTCTCCTAGACCTGCTGGAGCTGATGATGCTGCAGAACATGCAGATGCACCAGCTGCTGCTGAGCAGCCTGGTGGCCTCAGAGCTCAGCCCCAGGCCAGCGCCATGCTGCCCTCAGGTGCGTGTCTGGGCACAGGGCTGGGGACCCCAGGGGGGAAACAGGACAGAGCATAGAGGAGCAGGGCAGCCCCACTTCCCTGCTCTGTGATGCCTGTTACAGGCCAGTGATGTCAGTTTCCACTGTGAGTCCCCAAATCCAGACCGCCCAGCATTCTATTCAAGGTTTCCTGCGGGACTGTGAGCCCCAGACCGGCAGGGGCATGGTGCCCGGGGCTCCAAGGTCCCGACCACTGGAGACGGGAGATGAGCACTGAGTGAGACACCGGGCGGGGCCCGTGCTGCACGTGAGGGTAACAGTGGGTGCACAGCGACAGGGAGGGGACAGGCTCCTTGAGCAGCCCTAGCCCCATCGTGGAGTGCAGGAAGGATGTTGCGGTAGGAGGGGCTGCCGGTATCCCCTGGGTGCAGGCCGGGGTGAGGGCAGGGCGGTTTACCAGACTCCCCACTCAGTAGCTGGGGGTCACGCCAGGAGTCCTCAAGTCCCTCTCTGCCACGTGGCCTTAGACAAGTGGTGCCACTGTGACGGCCTCACTTCTCCCACCTGCAGGCGGAGTGAGTCTGCATGTCCCCGGGGCCTGCTGGCGGCTAGCAAAGGCTGCACACATGCTGTGATGGTATCGGGCTAAAGTTAGGGGGCTGCCGGAGAGGCGTGGGGGAGCCAAGTGTCCCCTACCCTTACGCACTGTCCCAGGTCTGTCTGGAGGGGCAAGAGGACAGTGCGGACGAGGGGCCGCTGGAGGCCCAGGAGGAAGGGCCTCTGGAGCTCCACCACCACCACCTGCCCGGCCCGGGGCCGGCGCTGGGCGCCCTGCCGCCCTGGCCGGCCTGGGTCCTGTGCCCTCCGCCACAGCAGGCCCACGTGCAGGCGGTGACCGGCACTCAGCCCTGCCCTCCGGCCTTTGGGAAAAGGGGAGCGTAAGTGTGGTGGGGGGGGCAGGGGCTTGCGGGGGCGGGGGGAGCGGGCCCTGGTCTGTCCTGGGCTGAGGAGCTGGTCCAGCAGCTGGTCACGGAAGACAGGGACGGAGACACCTGTGGTGAACCCCGAGGCCACCTGTGGTGTACCCCGAGGCCACCGGATGGGTCTGTCTTTTGTCTTCCTCACCTCAGGAGAGCTGTGCCGCCCCCCCCTCCGCCCAGTGCCACGGGGACTGTGGGGGCCGATGTACCTCCGGCTCCAGGTAGGGCTTGGGTGCCGGTGGCGGGGTGCAGGCCTGGGTGGGCTGGAGCCCAGGACAGCCCTGCTCCCGGGCCGGGGGCCCCCACCCTCCTCGTGGGCAGGACCTGACTAGGTGCTGTCTCCCCGCAGACTACTACGATGCCGAGAGCTTACTGTGACCCGCGCAGCTCACGCAGGCTGGAGGCGGCTCAGGCCACTCTGGTCCCAGGGGCTCAGCCCATCCTGCCCACGCAGCCCAGCCGCCCCCGCCAGACAGGCCCTGGCTGCCCCCTGCCCCGGAGCAAGAGCCCTCAGGGCACCGCCCACGCCCGAGGCCGCCTGAACGCTGCTCTGCCCACTGTTCCTGCCAGGCTGGCGGAGGCCTGAGCCGGGGCCACCAATGCCCGTCTCCGCCCCCTCTCTCTGGCATGGCCAGGGCTGTGGGTCAGGGTCGGCCTTTTTGCTATGAGGCCCAGAGTGATGGGGAGGCCTGGCTGCCCCCACGACCCAGGAAGCTGTAGGCAGAGAGTCAGAGCCATGTCCTGCCCCGACCAGGAGTGGGCTCAGGCCCCAGAAGTGCCATGTGGGAACAGAGTGTCTCTGCCCTGCCAGGGCTGCCACGTCCCCCCAGTCTCCCCAAGGAGCGATTAGTCAGGCCCCAAAGGGGTGGGGTCTAGTGCCCCAGGGGCTCGCATAGGGGCACCTCAGGGCCAGGGCTCTGGAAGGAGGCAGGGAGAGAAGCCCACGCCAGCGTGTCTTCTGGCCCCTGACTGTTACCTCAGGAGGACACTGAGCAGAGGGCTAAGTCCCGGTGTCTGTATTCAGACTAGAAAAGTGGGGGTCCTTTACTCAGATCTTCTGCTGCCTGTCAGCATCTTCACCAGGGCAGGACCACAGTCCTGGAGAGTCACACAAATTTAAGGGTCCCTGAGGCGCCATGTACAGAATGGCTATGCACAGGGTGAGCAGCACCAGG